GACAGGCATGACCCGTGGACATGCCTATGGTATAAAATATAAAAACTTCAAATGTTCATTATAAATATACATATTCAACTTCAATTCAATAACTAATTCATAATTGTGATTATGATTATCAAAATATTTTTATATACTTACTATTTTTTTAACACTTCAAAATCTATATTTTATGTCATATAAACTCGATCATTTGTAACATTTATATAAATATATACTAAGAATTTATTAAAAATTATTTAATATTATATAATACATCTATTTGTTGTTCAATATTAAAATCATTATTATGTGGTTGTGAGTAATGTAGTCTGGGGATTTTTATTCCGATTACCGATCTATTATATCCATGTTTAGTTATTATAGATTTATAATTAATAGGTAGTAAAGTTTTTATGATTGTTTAATGGTTTAAATAATGATTATTTATTGTGTTTTAATATGCCTAAAACAAAAAAATCACAGTTTTCTAACCTTTCAATCTAGCTTATAAATTTGTTAATACTGTTAAATACTTTACATTACAGTTTATCCCAGAAATTTATGTCTCGTATTACGCTAAATATCTACCAAACGTCCAAACTACTATTTTAATGACAATTGACAAAAATTCAAAAMAATTATTACCTTTAAATTTAAAATTAACATTTCATGAGAATAATAATATTTTTTAACAAAAACATAATCAGCTCTAACTCGATTACTATTAAATTTCGATATTTTTTTTAAATTTGATTTTAAAAAAGATAAAAAATAAATAGCTATTTTTAAATCTTTAAAGTGTTAATTTGAATAAAAAAATAATATTGATTTTTTAAATTGATGTTATCATAATGTAATTGATGTAAGGCATCGTTTCTAAACCTTTTTAGTGTCGCGACCACCAAAATAGGTATACAATATGGTCAATCACTTCGAGACCCCCTGGCCCCTATATGGCTATATCTATATTAACTATTAAGTATAAATTTGAACGATACAAATATCATATCAAATCAAAAAAAAAAAATTAAGTTAATTAAACGTATGACAAAAATTGTTGATATTATATGATTAGTAAATAATTTAAAAAATATACACATGTCAGTAAATTCTCAAAAATCATA